AGATTGATTTTGGAATTCAGATGCACTCTTATTGATTGTGCTTGGCCGTACATGTTCATATCCTTGAAGATGTATCATGGGGGTGTTGCAACCTAGAAGACACAAATTTGACTAACAAGTTATAAGTACATGAGTCCAAAAATTATGGAAAAGTAAAAGAAAAGATTCTTTCATTGTTTTACAAACCCTCCCCCAGGTCCCCTCCACCATGCAGCCCTCGCTCTAGTCTCCTGTGATGACAGAAATACCCAGTTACATCTCTCTTTTAGACGGTTCTCTCCCTCCTCTGCTTCAGTGCAGTATACATTATTGAACCCATCTTACTCAGTGTCTCCCTAACCCCAAGGACAGTCCCATTCTACAACAGTGGCATCATGTAATATTTGTCCTTTTGTGACTGGGATATTTCAGAGTGGCTGCTTTCAAGGGCCTTGTGGAGCCTCTGGGAGTATTATTCAGAGATGATACAACAATTCTTGTTTGCCTTTTTTTAGGTAGCATCATAGAGTTTTTCACTGTCGTTACATCACTTTTGCATTCTCACCAGCACTGTTAGGGTGTGATTTTGCCACACATTTACCATGATATGCTGTTTTCTATCTTAAGCTGAGCTATCCTAGTGGAGATAAAGTAGTATCTCCTCGTCATTTAAATCTGCATCTCCTTCGTTGCTAATTCTGAGAGTAACTATGGTTCCATCCTAAAGAACACTTTAAGATCTATCCCAAAGTACAATGTTCAGTGACAGGATCATTTATATCCATATACAAAAAGGAAAGCTGTAAATAGAACTATTATTCAAAATGTTCCAACTACTAAAGTCAAAGATGAAGAAACTGAAGATTTCTGTTGTTTTATTCACTGTCCAGTTCTCAAATTCACAGCAAGTAAATGAAGTCTACGGCCTGAATTAGGCCCACCTTAGTCCTCAAACGTTTCTCCTCAGTAATTAGGAGAGGTCTCGACTGCAGACTTTCCCAGTGCAGTATGTATCTTGATCTTTGGATTGCTGGTACCAAGTGGTTAAGTGTAAACAGATAGGAAGAACACATATTTTTCATTTTAAACCATGTAGTGTTTCTTTGCTCTGTTCACCTAACAGCTTCTTGGTCTAGGGTATAGATTCCACATGAGCACAATTAAGTGTTCTCTGTTCTCCCATTCTTCTCAATGTTATCTAAATTGTTATGATCCAAATACCTTTGCAAAGTTATTAAAAACAGAAATTGACATTCTTCACTTTCACCCATGATCCATCGGATAATCCCTTGTGCCATAACCTCTTCTAAATCCAGCTTGAATACATGGTGATTGTCCATACCCTGTTCTAACCATTTTGTTGTTGTTCTAGCCATTTTTAAATGATCTTCAGCAGCATGTTGCATGCATGTGATATGACATTGTCTGTGGTTGGAAGATGATAGCCAGAAGCACACAGCATTACCATCTTAGAAGAGTTACTGAGGAGCAGAAAGCTCCTCCTTCCACAGAGGTCCTGGAAAAACCCCTCCTCAGGTTTCACTGGCTCGAGCTGGAGATGCACTATGGAAAAGGGGATACTTTGATCAGCTTAACAAGGCTCATCTGTGGAGCCTCTAGAAAAAGTGCAAACTCTTTAAATTTGAAAGTATATCCCTGCTGCATGATAAACAGAGAATCACATTTCTCATTATATATAAGAATGAATCACACAGGGATCTTGTTAAGTATAGATTCTGGTTCAGTACATACGGGTAAGAAATGCAAATTTTCTGTAGAGTCTGAGAGGGCTGACTCCATTGGAAGCCCTGGACAGCATAAAACCGAAGTGTTTTTAATAATCATATTATTAAAGATGGGTACCAAAAATCACATAATTAAAGATGAGTACCAAAGCTGTGGTTGGGCAATTTTCTATCATCTCATTATCCTGAGAACTGGAATTCTCAGTATAGGAGAAAGGTGAAGATTTAAGACAGACGTAAATACACGGGGAAATATGTAAAAAGCAGATCCTGCCTGAAAGTTTGGAATTTGAATAGAAGAGTCAGTTATCATCATCATTAAACATCTGACCTTAAATAAAGATAAGCCTCCAAGGCAGGTATGTTCCCCTTGGAAAACGCTAACAACGGGGTTCTTCCTTAAGTTGTCTGTCTGGGAGAAATGGCTGATTTCAGATCTGGAGAATTGTTCAAGATGAACCCAGAACAAGTAGGAACTGTACGTAACTATTAGCAAAGTGTTAAAAGGACTCAGGGGAGGGACAAAGAGACAAACAACAAAGATGGGACAATTTGGGGCATCAACAGGCAAGTTCTCTCCTGTCTCACAGTCTGATCTTAGCTCAGCTGCTCAAAAGCTTCTAAGATCCCATACACTATTCACACCTCACTAGGACGACAGACTTAAAAACTCTATCGTGCCAACTGATTTAGTCTACAAAACTGAAGTCCTTAAAACCTAGAAACCAATTACACAAGGTGCTGCTGTCCCCTACTACTCCGTGAATGTGTGTACATCTATGTACACTCCTAACCATCCATGCCCACAAATATGCCCATGCACTTTCACTTTTTGCTATTATTGGTGCAGTTAAATTTATGCTATGCTGTTCAATTGGAACTGGATTTTAAGTAATATTCTCAATGACAGTAATTCTTTCCTCTCTCACTGCTGTCCAGTTAGAACTGTGTCCTAGGCTGGCCTCCAGAGGCTGTAAATGGAGAATGCCCACCTCTCCCGTGGCCGCTGGGTTAGCTCTGGTGGTGATTTGTCACCAACCCTCATTCATTCATTGATAAATACGTAATAAAAACATTTACAGGCAACATGAGAAAATTTGTGTCTGAGATTTACTAACATTACATACTGGATGTGGAACTGTGCGGGCACAAAAGACATCTCTCTCTACACATAGACCTTACAACTAGCCTTTGTTGAACCCAGTTAATATGCTGTATGTAAGACTCAATTAGCTTTTCAGCTTAAAAAGACATGCCTCCTTTTTCACACAAACAACAACAAAAAGCCCGACTCTTACTCATTTAAAGAGAAAAAAACTGAGTTCTGGATTGGGAGATGATGCCCCCTCCCCAGTACCGGGAAGCGGTGCTGTCTAGGTGGTGACACAATGGGGCCTCAAGTTTTCTCTTTCTGCTTAAGTACTACCTCCTAGGCCTTGCTAGGAGGCAAAAAAGGAGAAAAAAAAATCTAGATCATGTTAAAGTTTGCATAGCATTCTGTGGCAGAAATGTAATCTAATTAAAAAAAAAAAAAGTAACAGAATGCCATGCCAAGAAAGAAATCTTTCTCATAGTTGTATGCAAGTCTTAAAGAGGTCGCGTGGGGAACATCATGTTTTCTTCCTTTGAAAAACAATTCAAATAAGCAAAAGTTGCTCTGTCCTGGCACACAGTGTTTGCGGGGTGATAAGAATATAGTTATCTTTAGAAAAACTAAAAATATCTTTCATTCTGGGAACCCTGTAATAAAAACAAACTTAAAAGTAAAAAATCAGCAGAGTAAACATCTTTAATGATGTGTAACTGACTATCAACACCTATCACTATGATAGAACATAAAAATATCCCTAACACTTTAATGCTTTAGTTTCTACTCTCGTTTAGAACTGCAACTTAGAAAAAGAGAAAATAAGTGCCCCTCTCCTCAAAAATGAATTCAAAGGAGTTGAACACTCCACATCTAAGTGTGTAAAATAAAAATGCTAAATTTAATGCAAACAAAACAGAAGGCGAGAATTTTTCAGGGTATAAAAACTTCCAAAGCAGGTCAGGAAAGGGTAATAGATTACTTAAGTGTCATGTTAACTCTACTTGACGGTTAGCTTTCCAGCGCCTTATTCTTCAGCTTTTAAACTGCCTTTATCCCTTTTATTCCTGCATTTACATGGTTTTAACTAATGCAGTCAGGGTATTTATTATTCACAAACCACTCATCCCATGCCCAGTGTTGTTTTTGCCCAGACTGTCCCCAATCAGAATTGAGTGTGGAGTTCAATCTGTAAGCAAAAAAAATACTGCTGTGTTTTTCACTTCTTCCCAAAGTTAGTGAACACCTGTGCTATAATGCAATGAAGAGATTAAAAAAAGAAATCTGTTCTTTTAAATTTCTCTGCATTCATACTTTCTCTTACTCACCAGCTGTGCTCTGAACTGGAAAGATCTGAGGAGTCACTTAAAAAAAATACCTAGTTTGAAGCCACTCAATCTTTCTGTTGGTACACATTTAACTTCTGTTGTGGTTATACCATCGAGGAAGAACTGACTCACAAGTTGGTCCTCCATAGGGTTTTCAGAGGCAAAAAATTGCCCAGGAAAATTGCCCATCCTTCTTCTGTGGAGCAGCTGGTAGAGTTGAACCCTGTGTGTTCAGGATTACAGCACAGCTTACCTTTACACCAGACTTCCCTTACAATGTCTTTGTTGTTGTGTACCGTCAAGTAGGAACTGACCCTTAACTGACACTCCAGCAGGTTTTCAGAGGCAGTTAATTGCATGGAAAGAAGCAGCTGGTAGATTTGAACAGCGTGTCTTCAGGACTGCAATGCAGATTCTTGCCACTAGGCCACCAGAACTCTACAGTAATAAATTTCTATAGCTTAAAAAGAAATGCTGCCTTTAATACTGTGATGCCATCAATTCTAGAAACACAGAAAGCATTCCAAATCACATTAATTTGTAGAAAAGAACCTTGTCTACAGTCAGAAACAAGCAAGTCTTTAATAAATCAACCACAAACACAAGATATTATTTTAAATATACAGTAGGAACATTTATTTTAGTACTTCTAAAAGTTATTTACCCATGCCTGATGATTTGATATAAAAATCAAACCTATCATACTTTCCCCATCAGTCTGTCTACATCAAGGGCAATCAGAAATTTGTACAACATGAGTATCTGCTGAAACAAAAGTTACAAATTAAATGATAACAAAATACACAAATAACTGGACCCTAAATGAATTTCTAATGAATTTTCTTCTTCTTTTCCCCCCAATCACCTCGAACTTCTTTCTTCAGTCTCATGTTCTTTTTCCTTTCTTTGCTTGGCCATGAACTTCTGTTAAAAAGGAACATAAAATATGTATTAGTGTTTGTTTTGTATGCAAACATATTTAATGAATTTTATTATAATATTAGTGAATTTTATTATTATTTATTACACTTTAAAACAACGTGATTCTACAAAGTAAAGATTAGAAACACTATGCCTTACATTCTTTCCCTTCACACATCTACCATCTGATGTGAGAAGTTTACTGTGTGTGGTCTGGGGGTTACTAAGTTAGATAAGGTCTTCAGTGCCATAGAGTTTACATTCCCGTGGGAGGAGAGAAACCCTAATAAAGGACTCAGTAAACCTAGATCAAAGAAGGTGACAGAAAAACACTCTAAATAAACAAGGTTAAATGGATGAGGGTGACCTTGGAGACTGTGCTACTTTAGTTAGGGCATTCTAAGGCAGAGACTATTGCCAGAGCTACAGTCTGAGCTGAGACCTAACAGACGAGGAAGAACCAATCATACAAGTGGGAATGCAAGGATGTAAAAGGAGCCACATACAACAGAAATGTCCAGAGGCAGTATGGGCCTGCCTTTCTGGATGCAAGAAAAGAAAAAAAGCTAAGGCATATAGTCTGCAAAATACATGCGAACCAGCGAGGTTAGAGAACAAGAATCAGATTGTGCAGGGTCTTCCAGATCTGCACATATAGGTGTGAAAATGAGTCTAACTGGAAGTTATGAACCAATACAAGATTTCAAATGCTACTGCTAATCAAAGGAAAGAAATAAAGATGAGTTACTGGAACGGTACAATAAGGGAAGAAAAGAAGATTTTGGGAAGAAAAACAAACTTGCATACTCAAAAGTTCTGCCAAAAGGAAAAAATGTATATATGGGGTAGACATTTAAGTAGTTCAATTTAAGACAGTAACAGTACCTGAAAATTGTGTAAGAAAGTATTAAGCACAAAAAAATTGACATCTTTGAACAAGAAAAAGATAACTGACCAAATTCATTATAATAATGTAAATATTCCAAAGATATTATATCATATTCATTTTTCTAACAGAATCATCTCTATATGGGAACTAAATTTCAGGAGCTATTGAGGCAGCAATAGAATTTACTTATTTGTTAATTGGAAAGGTCTCTTTTTGTTTTTTTTCTCTTTGGCTTTGTTTCTCTTAAAATTCAAAATCATGAGAACAAGGAAAAACTACTTTCTTCATGAAAATTCTTGAAAATGCTTATGGTTTAAGATAGAAAAGATTAACTTTATTATTACATGAGTGTTAAATGTAATTTCTACATATTAATACAAAATTTAAAAATGGAATTACTTGTGTTAATCTCAAAATATTATCAGAATGTACTTTCTATATTAAAACAAATTACCTCTGTGTTTTGCTTATGACGTGTACTCTTGCAGTGACTTGTCATTGCCTTTTCATCTGAATAGAAGAGGGAACAAATTGGACAGAAGAATCCAGCTTTCGGCACAAGGAAATCTAAATCTACAGGTCAGAGAAGAAAAAAAAAGAGGATGAGGAAAATTAGTAATTTAGACTTGGTTAATAAATTTACTTAAACATGGCAAATATACTAATAAGCATGGTATATACATATAATGAGCATTTATATCCTACCACACATTTAGAGATCAAGAGCTATTAACTTTTTAATCACAAAATAGAGATCTCCATTTTCTAAACAAATGGTAAATGATTGACTGCCAAAGCACTGGTACACAGAAAACTGAACAGACACCCCTGAAGAACTTTTAAATAAAGGACTGTTCTGTAGTCTTTCAAAATGCTAGCTCACTGGTTTAGAATCAGATACTGAATTTAAGTAGGTCAAGCCTTAGGAATACCTTGTTGCAACAAAACAGGGTGTGTAGAGAGAGCAAGATGGACAAGTGCCCACCAGAATCAACTGATGAAGCCAGTAAGACCTGCTGCTCCCTGAGCCCCCTGCCCTACTAGCACACCATCAACATCCTGCTAACCAAACTCTTCAACAAGTTGTGTGTAAGTGGACAACCAGGACAGAACTTTTCACCAATTTCTCACAAAAGCAGCACAAACATCTTAGGATTTGAGAAAGAATCAAGTCCTCTTTCTCTCCTTTTCTGCTGACAGCATGCTATAAGGTATGGTTTCAACCTTGTCTTTCCAAAGATTCTTTCTCTCCCTTTTTCCTTTACAAGGTCTACTTACCATTCACTAGATAGTGTCTTAACGCTGTAATAAACCTTTTTCTTTAAAAAATAAAAAAAGAGAGCATCAAGTAAAAATAACTAAGTTGTTTCCAGCAATGTGTTAAAAAGCTTACTCTTCTCTCAAATAAATTAAATAAAAAGCTACCAACAGAAGATTACTCAAGCACTCAGTTAAACAACTTACCACCTATTATGGTGTTGAATTTTTATTTTTTTGAGAAAAAGGGAGGGGGAGAAAAGATCTGGATTTTACCTGCAGGGACATCAGGATCCTCTGATCTTCCTAAAGCACTGTCATCATCCTCAGTCTTCATACGCTTCTGTTCTGGTTCTGAGCTGCTCAGGTCATCAGGGTCTCCTTCAACTAGAGCCACTATGACTGAGAGAGGGTGGGAAACAATTCATAGTAAGATTTACAAACTTTATGACCTGAATATGTAATAATCCTCCTGCCATCAAAGCAAACTTAAAACATCTTTGGGTAACGTACTCAGTCCACTCTTTATATATTCTCTGAAATTACTGGATGGAAGGAACAGATAAGCAAATCTGCTCGCTTCCATTGAACAGATTTAAGGTGGCAGGGCTAAAGTTAGGAGCATATTTTATTTACACACTAAGTCGGAAAGAATTTTAACTGTGATGTGTGCTAATTCCCTTTCAAAACAAAGTCCAATACTCAAGTGGAATCTAAACTTATCCAAGACCACTGTCATTAAGACACTGCCATTAACAACATTCAAGCGTAAGTGATGACAGAAACCAAAATGAACTGAATGATTTTCAAACTTTCGTGTAAATAAAGAAAATACTAAGAAAAAAGGAAGATCTCTATAGAAGAAGTGACAGCACAAAGTCAGTATCAGCAAAGTGCCAAGAATTTGAGAGGAGACCCACAGGAAGAGCACCTATCCTGGCAGTGCTCTGGAGATGATACCATTTACCAATGCAGGCTGTCGCCAAGTCTGTTCCAGACCAAGGTAACCCCAAGTGAACACAGAAAAGCTGCAACACAGGGTGGGCAAGGCCTGTCTTCTGAGGCACCTCTGGGGAGTTTCCAACCACTAACTTTTTGGCTCAACTGTTTGAACAATTGCCACACAGTTCTTGACAAATCTTTCAGACTTACATGAAATTAATTTCACTTTTATTTTGTGAGACAGGCAAGACAAATCATTACTATCCCAATTTCTTCAAACATGGAAAGCAAAACCAAGAGAGGTAACAGATGTGCCTAACATCACATAGCTGGGACACAGGACTTCAAATTGAGTCCTCCCTCAAGTACCTACTTTTTTTTACTATTTCCCAAGTCTGAGGAAAGAGCAAGGAACTCTCACATTCCTTTCATCTGACTGGCTAGCAAGTCCTGAGCATGATGTTAGATAGCATATCTGGATCTTCAGATTACTTCTTGTAATACTGATTTTACTAATTTAAATAGAGAAAAAGATTTTTAAAGTTGAATGGAAAAAAGGACTTGAACTGGGTCCTTTTGTCAAACACATCACTCATTAATGAAATCAAGTGTTACAGAAGTAATAAATTACTCAGTCGAGATCACAAAAATAACACAAGCTCACTACCATCAAGTTGGTTCTGACTCATAGTGGTCCTTCATCGGGGTTCCAATGCTGTAAACTACAATCCAGAGGTGACTTCTTATTTTCCATGGGAAGCTGCGGATGGACTCAAACCACTAACGACACGCAGCTTTAAGGGTCAGCAGTGCAACTCTGTAGGGACTACGCCACCAGAGATCCCTCTGCAGAGCTAAAGAAGCTCCAAGTCAGATGACAGCTGGAGTTGCGTATTTCACAAAAATCCCCTAAGTCATGAAATCAATTCCCCATGAAGTCACTAACTCATTCACCCTGGCTTTGTCCATCAAGGAGTAGTTAAGAGAAGAACAGACAAGGGAGAAAGACCCAAGAGAGAAGGATGGTGCTAGAGCAAATATTCTTACAGTAACAAATGATAACAAGGAAATAGTTAAATGAAACGTGAGAAAAGTAAAGCAACCAATTTTCACAAGAATGGAGGTTCTTTATCAAGACCAATTTCCTTTCAGAAAAGTGCAAAACCAAGAAGCCAAAACACATCTGATTGAATAGGAGATGAAGCAAATAAAAGCAGTTATTTTTAGACTGACTACTCTGAAAGAAGAAAGGAAAGAGATACAAGGTCAGAGGGATTCTCATATTAAAAAATATTTCCCCTTAATGGGAAGACTTGACCTTAATTCAAGTGTAAGGAACCAATATGGCGGAAACAAAACGGGGCAGACATGAGAGATTCTCTACACGTGTTAAGTAGAAATGAAGGCTAGGTCAGAGAATGGGCTAGGTAATGCAGAAGCACACAATCTTGTACTACCACATCTGGTTAAGAATCAGCAGCAAAATTCTGTAATAGATGGTGGGGCAACACTCGCCGAGGGCCCAGACTAATTTCAACAGACTGCTTAGACAGTACCATGGCTGGTACATTTTCTTTAACAAAATCTAGATGTCCAAGAGAGAAAGAAGGATGCTGTACAGAAAGAGAAGTATAAGGGAATCTTTATAGTGCTCTTTAAAATACATTAATAGTTACTATAATTTACTTTTTCAGGTTAATAAAAGGAGATTCAAAACAGTGTACTTTGTCTAAATCTTTTAGCACTGTGTTCTAACTATGATAATAAACGTAGCAGTAAATTATTTGCTGAGGAACTACAGTATTTTCCCTTACTAGATTACTGTTTCCTATTTGCGTCAACATAAATGTCCTTAATGTTAGTAAAACATCTTATTTTTGCAGCATCCACAAAGCAAGGGATCAGGACTATGTAAAATACAATTTCTACTCGATGCTATAACTTGTACAAAGAGTTTAAATTCTTTTGTTTTTATCTCTGGAAATTATAAAAATATTTATCCAGATTAAAAATTAATAATTATTAAGGATGCATTTTTCTTCTGACTTCTTTTTTCCTGAGATTATAGATCTCTGAAAGTTCAACCATCACCCCGCATTGTTAACATTACTCTCCTCTTTCTTCCATTCATCTTGCTGTACCTTCACATTATTTTTTACCTTCACTAATTTTAAAGGCTTCCTCCTCTTCTGGTTTTGATGCAACAACTTTTTCTGATGGTGGTGTTTCCTCGGCTCTAACTCTCTTGGTTGGTGCTTTAGCTTTAAACAAAAGGTTTAAGTTATTTAAACTGCTTTTATCTGTGAATAATAACTCCAACAACTTATGTTTACAAAATAAAAATCTGAAAAGTAAACTTATTCCTAATAAAGAGTAAATTTCAATCTATAACTACTCATCATCCATCTAAAAATTAAAAATGTTCCTTCCCCCCTCTAGTTTATTCTTGACAATTTACATATAATGCTTCTAATTTGTCCCATACATATAGAAATACATGTATTCTATTCCAAGTTTGGTCTTACTTCCCAAGATCCCTCAAGAGCCAGTCTGTGCTGGATCGAATAATCATCCTTTGATTATCCAAATCTTTGTTTTCCCCATTTTAAAAACAAAGTATTTTCCATTAAGTTCTCTTAAGGGCGCGCCATTTTCCGATTTTGTTGTCTTTTTCTTTTTAATTGAGGTTTTAATGAAAGAATTCAGATTTCCATTCATTCATGCATCCATCCATTCATTCAGTGTTGCACATTTTCCTCCCTGCCCCCTCCCTTGCACACTCACATGTGTATGTATAAGTGTTAATTGCTGTACAGCCCCCTCAGTCCACTTTATTATGTAGCTCTTGTTCTGGACTGTTGTCATGCAAATAATACCTAATTATTTATTCCGATTTTAGGCAGATCTAGTCCTCATCTGTTTCAATGCAGTTGTTGTTGTTATGTGCCGTTGAGTCGCTTGCGACTCATAGCGACCCTATGTACAACAGCCCTAA